CATAACTACGCCTCTTTCTCTCTCTCTCTCACACACACACACACACACACATACATATATATATACACATTTTTGGTAGATTTTTTATCTTTTCACTAGTAACATCTTGACCTATGTCGTTCGAAATTCTCTCATACTTGGCGCCGTATATCAGAGTTCCAAAAGTTGGTTGCAGAAAGACAGAGAAGGTATGGGAAAATTCCTTTGGCCTCCTGACAAACTTGGTTCAGTAGTCTGTCAAAGCCTAGTTAGGGAGGGGGCGGTAATATGTTGAATATGAATTGCTCTAGTTCGAGTCCCTCTAGAATTATTATTACGTAGCTTTCTGCTTTTAATGATCAATTATTGCTAGTAAGCTTAGTAAAAAGTGAATTGGCCTGTATATTTTATTTTGGCAAAAAACTCTTAAACGAATAATTTCATAATAAAATGTATGTTAGCTTGTTTGAAAAAAATGGGATTGGCACTTTTTAATCAGAATAAGACAGAAAATTTACCCACTACTCACCCTTTTCGGCATCGGGCACCTGCAGCAAAGTGTAAATTGTCCTAGTGTCTGGCGTCATGTACGTACTGGGCACCAAACTGTCGTCGAAGAAGTCACGAGTACCCCTCCAGACATGAAGTGCCGCCAACACTGGGTCTTCTGCCCCCGTCAAACTGACCGTCGAGCTATGGTTCTTCAGCGCCTCCTTAGCCTCGTCGGTGGCCATTACGTTGAATAAGGGTGCAACCTTTGACACGACTGATGAGTCGACAAATCTGGCATTACTTCGAGGCAAAGTCTCTTCCAAAGCGAAAAATTGAACCGATTCGCTGGGCATGGTGCTCCTCTCAGGGCTGATCAGGTCGACTAGACAAGACAGAAACTGGCCGAGTCCCATCTTCGGATACCACTACACAAAATAAAGTCAAATTTCAAGGCAAAGTTTTTTCATTTTTTTGCCCCAAACTCGTCACAGTTGAATATTAACACCTCCAAAATCGACTTGCGACTAGATTACCAACATCAACAGACGCTATAAAAGCAGTTGTCCGACTCAAAAGGATGCAGGCATCACCTTTAAACATGGCTTGTGACAATCACCTCAGCATCAGCTTAAAGCTAAAGTGAAGGCCCTCTTTTGCCATCTGAAACTCAGAAGGCATAAAATATTTATCAATCATAAGCTACACTACTACACTACTGTTTTAATAGGAAGTAGAAGATTGCCCCAATTAAGATTCTACTCGAAATTGAATCCTACTTTAGTATTGGCGTACCTTAAAGGTCGTTTGCGAAGGCCGGTCGAAGGATTTCGTAAATTGGCCCCACTGGATACCGCAGGAGGGTTGCCTTGGACTTTTGTCTGTTGAACTGTGCAAAGAAAACATCGACTCATCGTCCTACGACCCCGATGACTCCGTGCTGAGCTTTCATCCATCATGTGATGGACATCGTCAGAGCCAGAAACCATTCTTCTCGAAAAAATCATCATAAAACACTAAACCTTTCTCGGTTTTGGGTTTAGCTCCCGCCTTTC